GTCTGTGAGACAGCACCACAGGGACACCCCCATCAGGTGAGTGAGACGTGGACTCCCCAGGGCCTGGGAAGGGCTTGCGCCTTTCCTTCTGCAAATGTTAAAATGCAAAGGCTGTGCTTCCCTCATCAGTAGGGAGCTCACCTTTGCTGATCACCCTCGAGTGCAGAGCCAGCCCTGCGGCCCTCCCCCCGCCCCCCATGCCTGCCCCCCCTGGCTTCCCACTCTGGGCTGCATGGCCTCGAGGAACAGCCTCGTCTCCACCAGCCTCATCTCCTTATTTGCAAGGAGGCAGCCAGCTCTGTCCTGGGATTGGTGGCTGGGCTGGACAAGGCCGCAGACATGCCTTACCCTTCTGAATGACCTGCTGTGCCTGCCTTCTGACGCGGGCGTTCCGCAGGAACCGCCATTCCCGCTCCTTGCGGATCTGACTCTCCGAGTCATGCTCTTCTGGGATCTTCAAAAAGAGAAAATATCCAGTTAAGTTCAGCATTTAAGACATAGTTTTCCAGATACAGGCTCCCCTTCCTCACGTGCTGGAGACCTCGCGTGGTCCTGTCTTGCCAGCACGCCCAGCGCTGGGATCTTCAAAAAGAGAAAATATCCAGTTAAGTTCAGCATTTAAGACATAGTTTTCCAGGTACAGGCTCCCCTTCCTCACGTGCTGGAGACCTCGCGTGGTCCTGTCTTGCCAGCACGCCCAGCACCCTCCTGGCAGGCACAGGGCAGAGTTCATAGCCCACGGCGTGCGATTCGGCACCTGCGGGGCTCCCTCCCTGAGCTGGCAGAGGTGCTCTTCACTTGCGGGCCCACCGGGTTTAGGGGTTCTGAGGCCCTCGACCAAACAGCCTGTAAGTAAGGCTGACAGGTGTGTGTGTTGGGGGCAGAGACTTGGGAAACACCTCCCAGACCCCAAAGGCCAAGTGCTGGCCAGTCTTTGGGGCCAGTGCGGAAGGCTAAGGCCACAGCTGTGTCTGACAGTGAGCAGCAGGGGGCAGACACTAAATTTGCAACTTCAAACACTGAAAATACAAAATCACAGAAGATGGGGTGCACTCAGAGAGACTTCTGCCTTTATTCTCTCTTGAATGCCAAAGGGAATTGGGGTGTCTAGTTCGAAGACTTTGTTATTCAAAGAGAATAACAAGAGGCCCCATGTGAGGGGCCAGGCGGGACCCCCAGAACTGCTGCGGCCACAAGGTCTCACCTGCCGGAGAGGGTGGCAGTGGCCGCTGGGCTCCACCGAACGGGAGGGAGAGTTAGGAGAGTTCTGGGCTGCAAACCTGGTTAGGCTCAAACTAACTGGTGAGAACACTGGTGCCTTTCCCTAATCAGACACAACTTCAGAAAGACTAGGTTTATGTCCATGTGAAATACGCAGACAGCAGACAAACTGTCCTCTACTCCTTCAGCAAAGGTCCTCGCTCCGTGGCCAGTGAGTGTGAGTGTGTGCACGTATGCATGAACATGTGGGGGGTGTGTGTGCAAAACCAATGTCTAAGGGGAAATAATAAACTAGGATTTAATCAACCTTATTCAGAAGGATGATCGTTTGTGTGTGTAATACAAAGGGAATCCCTTAATCATACAAGTAAACCGAGTAAATATGGCTGACTCTGATTTCCTGCTAGGAAACTAAGAGTTATCAAGTCCCCAAATCTAAGAGAAATGAAATAAACAAGACAGAAACTCTACGGCTCTTGGCTGAGAGTTGAGACGGGAGAGCTTACCACAACTAGCCTTGGAGTCAGCCAACACAAAGGGCAAAGCCAGCCCACATTGGTTATTTTAAAAATTGCTTTCTCTGATACAAAAACTGTACGGCTAGCGAACACCAAATACAGTGACGCTCACATTCTCAGGAGCACGTGGGGCTGAGAAATGAGACCATTTCTACAAGTACAGAATTTTTACAGAACAGTTCTCATGTCTCCTCCCTGAACGTTCTGTGTTATCATCAGTCACAAACAAAACCAACCACACCCCACCCTGCTTCCGGGGCCTGCTCTCAGAGACGGCCTGCAGGTTTGTTTCCTAACATTCTATTGCTATGTCCTTTCTTTTCCATCTAAAAAATCACAAAAACTACACCCAACAAAACACTAATAAAAACAGGGGGAAAAAAATAAAAAAGGGACATCCATACCCGAAACAACAATAAGAAGAGGGGTCAAGCACCTTTCAGAACATTTATTGGTTTAGAAATGACCCACGGCAGCCAGTGGGATGGATCGTGGATTCCTAACAACTGGTTTCGTTCTATGACAATCCAGAGCTCATTAGAAAATACATGACAAATGGCCAATAATGTAGAGCAATAATATGGGGGAAAAACAACCCAGATAAAGAGACTCAAAGCCTGTGCAGGAACAGAGATATTGCACTTTAATGAAACTCGGGTTTCTCTGGGAATAAATAAAAGGAAGAAGTCTAAAGGCACTTTTGAGCAGGGAGGGAGGGGACCTGATGGGAAGGGATTCCAGGTTCGCGGATCAGCACTCTCCGTAGCTGGGCCTGAGCTCCTGGCACAGAATCCACGTGTGAGGGTGGACTGGGGAGGCTTCTGTGCCTCAGCTCCAAAGATGACGATGACGATGACTGTGAGGACAAGGTGCTGGGGAGGAGCAGGGCACACGGGCACCCAGGTGGCAGTGACAACGGGGGTCTCAGGCACACTGTCACATGCTGGAGCTGTTGGACAGCCCTGCGGGAACGGTCTCTAGGCCCAGGAACTCTGTCTGGGAGGGAGTCACCCCTTCCCTTCTGTCAAATTCAAGGACAGAGCGTGATGACCGTGGGGAGCCCTCTTGTACAGGCCCTGCTGAGGCCCTGTGAGAAGCTGTCAGAACTGGAACTGAAACACAGTTCTGGAGCCACCCAAGCATCTGTCCCGGGGACCAGCAGGTGCGACCACTAAGTTCACAGGATGAACACGGACAGGGGTGGGGGAGATGGTGGAGAGAGACGAGGGGATGGCAGGGACACATGAGAAGGCAGCAGACAGCAGTGCTGCCCAGGGCTGAGGGACCACAGAACTGTCGACAGACTATTGCCCTTCAGTGCAGTCTCATCATCCGTCCCATCTTCTCCTCTGACCCACTCTCCGCAGGGTGAACACACGTGAACGAGGGCCCAGACCCAGCCCTGCCGAGCCCCTCTCGACAGGCCCCGGAGACATGGGTGTTGGTCATAGTGTTCCATGATCAGGATCATGACACGCCACGATTTCTAACACCTCTCAGCTTCTGCTCAGACAGAAACCAATTACAATGCTGAAGCCTCCCACAGAGACACGTCAGCGGAAAGCTGATGAAGCCCAACACCTTTCCTGCCACGAACAAGAACGTGGGCTCAGGAACAAGGAAGACCAGAGGGGTGGCAGAGGGCTTGCGGGAGGGCAGCGATTTGGTGCCTTCCCATGCGGTGAATCCTCATACAGTGAATTTGTGAGTCCTAAGGCTGAGAAGGAAGACCAGAGGGGTGGCAGAGGGCTTGCGGGAGGGCAGCGATTTGGTGCCTTCCCATGTGGTGAATCCTCATACAGTGAATTTGTGAGTCCTAAGGCTGAGTCTTACCTTTAATCCTTCTAGATTTAAAAAGGGTCAAGGTGCATGGGATAACGTTCAGTACAGGTCCATGACTGTCAAGACTGAAAAAGACCTGGGCAAAGGCAAGGGCAGGGAGGACCCACAGGGAAGGCTCCTCCATGTCGATGCTCAGGTCTTTGACACCCAGCTCCGTCTCCACCCGCTACGCACAGCACGCTCTGCTTGCAAGAAGTGAGGACAAGTCTGCCTGTTGCTTGCTTTTCACCTCGACACTTTTATTATTTTTTCTATTGTTTTTTTTTTTTCCTTTTTGTCTTTTTTCGTGACCGGCAACGGATCGCAACCCTCAGTGTCGTGCCCGCACCGGACCGGCAACGGATCGCAACCCTTGTTGTCGCGTCCGCACCTCGCTCAGCCAGTGAGCGGCTGGTCTGTATGTGGGATCCGAACCCTCGGCGGGAGTGCCGCCGCGCTCCCAAGCGGCGCACTGTAGCAGTGTGCCACCGGGCCGGCCCCGATTTTTTCTATAGTTTAACAACAAACTATCCCCCCATCTCTTCGACACAGAGAGGCTGTGGTGTGCTTTGAGGGCATGCAGTAGGTGGCAGCCTGATGTGGTCCACTGGTGCCCAGGAGCGTGGTATGTCTAAGGAAAGACCCGAGTTCCAACTACTTGTTCAGCTACTGACAGGTAAAATGAAGTGAAGATCAGGTCTCAGTCTATGTCCTTACACCTGAAGATGGGTATTTACATCACCTGACCACGCTTTTTCTCTAGTATGACTTCAACACAAGGGGTGGGGGAAAGCTTCTTCTCTCTCCTTAAGTCAGGTTGACTGAGATACAATTTATATAAATAACGTGTCCTCTTTTGGTACAGTTCTGACAAATGCTTAGCCACACAATCTTTTTTTTTTTTTGGTCCTTTTTGAGACCAGCTGCACCGTGCTCAGCCAGTGAGCGCACTGGCCATCCCTATATAGGATCCGAACCCGTGGTGGGAGCGCTGCTGCACTCCCAGCACCACACTCCCAAGTGCGCCACGGGCTCGGCCCAACCACACAATCTTTTTTTTTTTTTTTTTTGGTTTTTTT